AGTAGGTACCATTCAGAGGCTTAGAGCAGGCGGAGAAGCCTTAGGTTATTGCTGAGGGGGCAGAATAATGAAAGCTACAGAGAGTGGTGAAGGAGCTCTGGTAGCGTAGTGGTTACAAATTGGGCTGCGAACCTTAAGGTCAGCGGTTCGAAACTACCAGCGGCTCCGCGGGAGAAAGATTTCTACTCCCGTAAAGATTTACACCCTCGGAAACCCTGGGTCGCTATGGGTCGGAACCGACTCGATGGCACTAAACAACAACAACAACACAGAGAGTGGTGGGCAGGGGGCGGGGCTGACCTTGGCTGAAGTTGTTCCCTGTCTGGGTTAGCTCTGCTTATAAAAGGCCAGAACTTCTACAAAACATTCCCCACCTTCTTTCTTTTGCAATCGCATTTTGGTGCTAAAACATTTGAATGTGTGCACATGTATGCATGTCTACACTGGGAAGACAAGAAACTGTTAGTACAGTGAAAAACCAGCAAAGACAAAAAACATGGTGGAAAGATCACATTCAGGAAAAGTCTCTGAACTTCCTTTTTCCAGGTGATTAGCACTCAACATTAAAAAAAAAAATTCTTAATAAAAAGTTATTTTTACCCTGTGTTATACCAATAATATCTAGGATTATCAGACAGGTTGGTGGTTCACTGATGTTTATTTGTTTGGGCAAAATTTCTTCAAGTACACTGTTAACGTGGGCCAAACCCATTAGACTAGGCTTGGACACTCTCCCGAAGCAAAGCAGCCTCCAAGAATAAACAAGTACCTTCAAATGCCAACAGGCAATCTAGATCTGACACTTGTTCCTCTTCAAGGAGTAGTGGTAGGAAAATACTTGGAATTGATGGAACAAAAAAAAAAAACCCTTGATCTTAATGAAAGATATTCCTTTATGAAAATGGCAGTAGCCACATCCTCCAAGAAATCTAGGAATAGTCCAACTCTATGATGTAAAACAAATAAGACGCAAGCAGACCAGCATGGGAAAAAATCTGGCTCAATCTTCAGAGACTTTCCACGGAGAACCACGAAGCCCTTTATGTGTGTGTGAACCATCCTAAGCAGCTTTCCCCACATAGTGACATTTGCCACATTCTGCTTCACCTAGAAAAGAGAGGAGAGGGGACAAATTACGTCACTACACTGAGTTGACCAAGCTTAGAAGCTCATTCATTCTAGGCAAGGATTACAGCAATTTATGACCTAAAAGTTTACAATTCTGAATTAATTGCAGGCACGTTAGTATTCTGAGGAGCCCTGGTGATGTAACAGTCAAGCACTTGGCTACTAACTAAAACCCACCCACTGGCTCCACAAGATAAAAACCTGGCGATCTGTACCTGATGGGGCAGTTCTACTCTGACACAGGGAGTCTCTCTATAAGTCAGAACTGACTCCATGACACACAACAACGAGGTACTGAAAAATCACCTGAGTTTGTTAAAATGCAGATTCCTGAGCCCCAATTTCAATAGGTTTAGGGTGGTGCACAGGAACCTTCATTTTAGCTAGCACCTTCCCCTCTGAATACAATTTAAACCTAGGTGACCAGGACATCACACTTCTGCAGACACTGTGGGGACAAAGCATCCATCCAGATATTCCTGTGGCTGCTGTGGTTCTGCATTTGAGAGTAATGAAAGGTTTAAAAGACAAACACAGCTGGGAGCAGAAGGGGCTCTCAGTGTGAGGGGCGTTAGCTGCAAGGAGTCTATCCCAGCTCATGCCAACCTTAGTTGTAACGGAATAAAACACTGCCTGGTTCCATGCCTAACATGAAGGCAAACGGCAGTACAAGTAGCCCCCAAATTATGATGTATTTGAGTTACAACAAACAGCTCGTACAATCATCCTTTCGTTTTTGGATTATCTTATGATGCTGTGGGATAAGGCAAGGTCGGTTTGAACCACAAGGTCGGTGGTTCAAACTCACCAGCTGCTCCTTGGAAACCCTATTCAAGGTTGCTATGAGTCAGAACTGACTTGAAGGTACTTAATGCCAACAGCAACATGGTTAGTAATATATATTTCATACAAGGTTGCAACATGTGGTTTACTGATGTTATTATTCTTATGCCAACTCCTAAAGACAAATAAAGGTCAAATTTATAAAAACAATGGTAAGAAAAGGTAACAATGTGAAAAGAAAAAAGACCTACTCAACTTACATCAGAACCGATTTACGTTGGAGTCAATGGAGGGGAATACCACCATAGATTGAGGACTACCTGTTATGAGCCAACCCCTGATAACTTGCCCCATGTTCCCAGTCTTCAGGCTAATCAGGAAACTCACCTCCAGATAACAGAGAGTAGGCAAGTTTGTAACCTCTTGCTACCTGTGTTTGGTAGGGAACATCAGGCTATGCCAGAAGAGATACAATGAGACGTAGTGCAAAACATCTGCTGCTCAGATTTGACGGTGATTGGAGGCAAACACTTACACTTCTCTAAGGGAGCAGCTTACTCCAGGCTGTCAGCAAATCCTTCCTGTGAGCATCTGAACTTTGCACTGTATGTAAACACACTCATGGGGTTCTGACAAGTAAGTCCAATCTTATTGAGTGATGCTTTACATTAGCCTTAAAAAGTGACCCTCACATTGATGCTTCCCCCAAACACCCTGTTTCACTGACACAGAATTCAGATGCAGATTTTTATGGTATTTGGAAAAAAACAGTATCTTCCAAAACTGGTCTGGGCAAGCCAAAACAGACACTTTGAGAATATCCTCAAAATGTCTATTTTACTTATTCAGGGTGAAAAACTGTGTGGCACCATAGGATAAGCACTTGGCTGCAAGTTGGGTTTGAGCAGCAAGGTCAGCGGTTCAAGCTCACCAGACGCTCCTTGAAAAACTTATCTAGGGTCACTATGTTGGGACCGACTTGATGGCACTTAACAACAACAACAACAACAAAGCCAAGCAAGGTGGCTGACAATTTGGGGAAGCTTGAAACTGCCTGGGAGGCCCATGTGACTGTTTGGCCTAGAGGAGAGGCCCAGTCCTCACAGACCCTGATTGTACTCTAAGACCCCTTGACTACTGAACAGTGCTAGTGGTAAACCAGGTAGGTGGAAAGATGGATGTGTGTGTGTGTGTGTCACACTTCCAGACTCTGACGTGGACCACTGATGGTCAGAGGCACTGACCACCCTGGCCAGCTCTAAGGCATAATGCATCCCTACAATACTGGGAGGGGTCATACTCTGGCCTAGTCTTTCTCAGAAGGAGAGAGAGAAAGTGTTCCTTCTCTCTCAGAGCTGCAGAGCAGTACTTACCCTTCTCCACAAGAAAGAACTGAGAACACCCTCAAAGTACGCTGGCTTATTCAGGGTGGGAACTGAGTGATAACACATAATGTTACTGTTATGAAAGCAAATGATGCCTTTGAGCATGCTCTCTATAGAAAGGCCCCTGTGCTTCAGAGGTTGGTATGTCCTGTGCAAGTAACCGATCCTCTAAGTGCGGGGCCATCATTTTGACTGGTTGTCCTCCTTGATAATGCGTCACCCAGGTAGCAACGCTGTGACAGCTGCTTCTAGGTTCCCAGAAGAGGACGCTGGCTCAGCCCTCTTCTGAGTGTCCAGCACCAAACAAACACTCTGATTGTTGGATTCTTTAGTCACACAAAGAGCCCGAAAGTCTTTGTCTTATTTGAATAACCTGCCCGACAGTTGGCCGGTCTTAGTGAACAAGCCTGTTCTGTGCCATACGCTGTCTTTGGCCTTGTCTGGATTAAAAACACCAAAACCTAACAAACCCATTGCTGTCAAGTCTATTCCAAGTCATACTGAGCCTGTAGGACAGAGTAGAACTGCTCCCTTGGGTTTCCAAGGTCATATTTCTTTATGAAACTAGACCGTTACACCTTTCTCCTGCAAAGAGTTAGTAAGTGCTTACCCACCACACCATCAAGGCTCCTACTGGGATACATACATTTTAAAAACCTGATCTTCACTGTCAAAAAATTGACAACCATGGTGATGAATCAATAGGTCAACATGGGAACGGGTCTACACCAGAATAAGACACATAATAACTAAATGCTAAGGATTTAAGTCAAACAATGAGCTACAACCTTCGAGTGAAGCTTAAGAACTTTACCCTAAAATCTTCCCCAACCAACAGCAACTAGTCATTACAAGTAAAAAGTGTATTATAAATTGTTGTTGTTGTTGTTATTAAGTGCCGTCGAGTCGATTCCAACTAACAGCAACCCTGCCTAGTGTTTCCAAATGCTCCTAGGAAACTTTATACGGGGTCACTATGGGTCAGAACCAACTCGATGGCACTTAACTAAAGTGTTTCAGAGGAGCAGCTGGTGGGTTTGAACTGCCAACCTTGCGGTTCGCAGTCCAGTTCTGATTCTCCTGCCCCACACCAGGAGTCCAGTTATTATAGATGTGTGAGGACATTGTTTAGAGTCCTTACTATTTTGAAAGTAGTTAACAAGACTCACACACTATTATTATACCACACATTAAACGTTTTTATTTTTATAGCTGTATTTCAATGGCGTTAGCCTCCCTGGTAATCCTATGTATTTTATGCATTGAAAATATTATGCTAAGAAGGGTCATTAAACCCTTGCCAACCTTTCCTGGGGGCCTTACCTTCAAGATCTGAGGGCCACTGATGAGGGTGACAGTATTAGAAAGGTATTCTTGTTGTTGACCACTGTTGAATTGTTCCTGACTCATGGTCACCCCTGGTATAATGGGCTCAGTCTGCTGTAATTCAAAGGATTTTCGCAGATTGATCTTCAGAAGTGGACCAGGACTTTCTTCCTAGTCTTAGTCTGGAAGCGCCGCTGAAACTGGCTCAGCCTTACAACAAAGCAACATACAAGCCTCCATGGACAGATGAGTAGCAACTGTACTTAGAGGTACACTGGCCAGAAATCCAGCCCAGAGCTCCCACAAGAAAGGTGAGAATTCTTCCAGGGAGTCACACCTGCCCTCTACTAGAAAGCTGAAAGATGTGCAAATACTTACTGAAATGTGACATTGTAATATTCTTCAGGGGTCACGATTTTAGCTCCACCATAGTAGTCCAGGACCCAGATATTGGTTATATTCAATTTAGCAAAGAACCAATTATGATCGGAAGGCCACGTCTTCATCTCAGGGTGCCGAGTGAATAATGCATTCTTTGCAAACTCCAATTCGGTCTCATTCACCTAAAAGAAGACAAACATGAAATAAATATTCTCACAGCTCTGACATTCTGTTTTCTCATTTGTTAGGAAATGTGTAATGGTAGTATTCTACAAATTCTTTTAAGCTTAAAGACTCAAAGCACAGAAAAATGAAAGAAGTTGGAAGAAAAAGCAGACAGCAATAAAGATCTTCAATGTTGGTGAAAACAGATGCTTCATCAGACAATGATTCCGTGTCATCAGAATAAATGGCATAAGATTCCATAACAGAACCTCACTGGGGCCTATGACTGCATCATTGGCACACTAATCCCATAACGTGTACATATTGTATACACAAATCTTGAGTCTCTGATGAATGGAACAGCTGACTCTGATGAGGGGGCAATCTTTAGAAGTAGCACAGTGGAACTGAAGAGCATATTCAGTTCACCCTCCCTTCTCTTTGACAGTGACGGACAGCCAATTCCAGAGATGTGTCCATATATAATTTCCAGACCGCTCATAAAACTTGTCTGAGGTATTCATGGCTGACAAGGTCAGAGACACATCTGTTGGACTGGCAATCAGATCTTCTGTCCCCCACTGGCTACCCATGGTTCTGCTTAACCTTTTCCACCAGCACTCACCAGGACTGTCTCAGTTCAGTTCCGTTTGTAGTAACAGATACCCACTCCCCTTAGTGACCTACCTGATCCCACCTCTGCTCTGAGCCAATGCTAAAACATGGAGTCCAGTAAATATGGCTTTGGCTGCACAGATAGTCCCTAATATGAGTAGGGAGTAGATCAACAGGTGTTATACCTGTTTGGCTATAGGAAAAATACTCATCTTCTTTATAAATATCTTACTGAACAGATTTAAAGCAATTGATTACAATTGTCCATTTTCATGGAATTACTTTGCACCTAATAATATATGAGGAGGCTTCAAAAAGTTTGTGGAAAATTTCTTTTAATTCTATTTTCCCATGAATTTTTGACACCCCCATGTAGTCTAACTTTGTAATTCAATCACAGTCACTTTATTTTACTTTCAAGAGTCTGTCTTTCATTGTTAGCAGGGTGATGCTCTTGGAAAACCAGTGTTTCCCCGAGCAGGAAGACTACTCACCTTAGTAATACTTCCTGACAACATTATGTGAGCACAAAGGGGACTCTGGGGATCAAATCCATGTTTCTTGCAGAAGTTCGTCTGTGCCAACGACATTGTCAGCGTAGCATGTGAATTATTCTGCAGAGAGAAAATAAAGACCCTTTCGTGTGAAATATGGTCTCTGGAGAGGTAATATATTTCACCAAGTTGCATATATAATAGGTTGGGAACGTGACTGTTCTTCTACAACGCAATGAATTGTATAACAATCACCTATGCTCAGGGGGAAAATACTATTTGAATAGAGACTGATCTTTTCTGTAAATCCTGACCACACACACACACACACACACACACACACACGATAAGGAAGAGGTTCGTATTTGAAAATAACTGACTCTAATACGACTATTTTAGGAGTCCCTCCTAGTGTGGCACTGCGGATTAATGAGCTGGACTGTAAGGTTGGTTTGGACGGCAAGGTTGGTGGTTCAAGCTCACCAGTCATTCACTTCTTGGAAACCCTATCCAGGGTTGCTATGAGTTGGAACTGACTTGACGGCACTTAACAACAACAGGTGTTGCAAAGAGCACTGGTGTGGCACTGTAGGATGAACACTGGACTCTCACTGAAAGGTCGGCAGTTCAAACTTGCCAGCAGCTCTGAGGGAGAAAGGCGAGGCTTTCTGCTCCTAGAAAGATTTCTAGCCTCATAAATGCTATACAGGGTTGCTATGTGTTGGAATCAACTCAATGGCACGGGTTTGGTACGGGGTGGTGCTAACGGTTAAGTGCTCAACTACTAGATGGAAAGGTTCAAATCCACCCAGAGGTACCTGGAACACAGGCCTGATGATCTGCTTCTGAAAAGTCATATAGTTCAATGGCAACTAACAACAACAATAAGTAAGAGTATTTTAACACATTTTTCTCAAACTCTGAATTTGTTCCTGTTGGGTAAGAAGGTGGTGCTATCCAGGGAGTAGCTTATCAGGCATCCTCTCCTTCTGGTTCCGATGGAAACCAAGGAATGCTAAGTCATTGCTATGTGTGCCACCATATTAGAATGATGTCACACTGTTATATAACCTGTGGGTCATATTTGGCAAGATGTCTTCTCTATTCTGTAGTAGTACTTAAGGAGTTTCCCCCACATGAGGGGGAGGGAGAAGAGAGAGACACAAGAGAGAATGGGCAGACACAGGAGGGAGAATGGGGCACACAGAAAGAGATGAAGTGAAGAGAGGCGGGGAGAGCGCTGAGAGCTAGAGAGGACAGAGGGGCAAGAGACTACCTGAGACCCCCTTCCCCTGTGCTGACTGCTGTTTTGCTGAATCATTTCAAGTGTTGTTTTGGCTGCCTGATCCAGTGAACCTGCTGAGGTGGGGTGCTGAGAACACCGCCCCTCACACACACACACACACACACACACACACACACACACACACACACACACACACTCTTCATGACATCTACATATTCATTAGGGAATTACAATTAGAGTGCCACCAAAATTCAAGGGTGGCTGGTCTGTGGCTACCCTGGAAAGGCCTAAAAGGTTCAACTCTAATATGAAACCAGTGCATAGAATATATCTCAATTGCCCAACCAGATGATCAGCAAGAAAGTAGCTGAGTCATGCTGCTTTGTTATCTTAAACTAGCAGAAACTGTCATGTAATATCAAAACCAAGAAAGTTGCTTCATCCTGCTCAAAAAATAAGGGAATTATTATTTCAGATTCAAAAAAAGAAAGCAAGTAAAATTCCTAGCTTCTTTTTATTCATAAACAGCTTCATAAAAGGCATTGTTGACAGATTACAGCAAAATCCGTACGTTGTATTTCAGGTTACTTAGCTCTTTAAACTCTGAGTGCCTGTGTGGGGAATTTTACCAGGTTTCTGTAGTCTATCAGAACAGTGAGTCACAAAGAGGTCTCTTGAAATCAGTTAAATATTTTCTAGGTATAAATTATTAGGTAAGATACTACAAGAACCACACTCCTCCCCTTTCAAAAATTAAAAAAAAAAAAAAAAGTCTAAGATATGGTCCCTCCCTTCTGTGGAGTTTATACCCTAGTTGAAAAGTCAGACATAGATCGAACTTATATAATAACAGAAAACAATGGTAGAGAGATCAAAAGGCAGTACCTCATAAATTGCCAAATAAATGGTTCAGCATAAGGAGAGACCAGCATAGACTGGAGAGATCTAGAAGCCACAGGGAGCAGTGTACGCTGTTCAAAGTGAGGCGTACATATCAGAGGTACTCATGGTTTCTGCAAAAACAGAACTGGGAAAATAGAATCCATGGTGGAGAGCAGAGAGAAGTCCAATTTGCTTAAGAGAGTGGCTTTCAGATGGAAAGAGAGGTAAGAAAAGGTGGGGTCTCAAATCCATGCTAAGATATCTAGATTGCCTGTTGTAGACCAGAGGTTTTCAATTTTTCTAAGAGCCACTTGCCTGAAGAGCTTGTTAAAATGCTCATTCCTGGGCAACATTTCCCAGCCCAGGAATCTGCATTTTAAATAAATACTCAGGTGATTCTTAGGCAGTTCTCAGACGAGGGATATAGTTAAAGGTTTTCAGCAGAGGGCAATGCCATGAGTGGTATTTGACTAACTGTCAATCTTGTGGGAGGGTGGAGCAGATGGACTGAAGCAGATAGGAAGAGTGCACTGTGGGTTAATGTGAAGGACTGTAATGTCAGCTTGAACCACAAAGTCGGCAGTTCAAGCTCACCAGCAACTCCTTGGAAACCCTGTACAGGGTTGCTACGGATTGGAACCGACTCGGTTGCTACAGATTGGAACCGACTTGACGGCACTAACAGCAATGACAACAGCTGAAAGGTTAGAGGTTTAAACCCACCAACCACTCCTTGGGAACCCTATACAGGGTCTCTGAGTCAGAATTGACTCGACAGCACTTAACAACAACAACAACAAAGAGAGGGTGGTAAAAATGAAGAGTAAAGAGACGGGCAGCAAACAAAGCAAAAAGACTTTGAGGAAGAGGCAAGAATTCCAACTGTGTAATGGAGGGAACAACACTATTAGCATAAATGCAAAATCAAGAGGCGCTGTTTTGAGGAGGATGAAGGACCCTTTTAAACTGAATGAAGTGAAAATAAACAGCAAGCAGTCAGCAGTCACATTGTGGAGGTCAGAAATGGACACAGTTTGAAGTGACTTTTTTAAGTGGGATGAAATAACCTGAGTGTATGTGATCTTCCCAGGGCGATGCCAAGAGAGCAGTGGAGTAAGAAATGGACTTAGGGGATCAATCATTTTTAGTGAATCAGAGAAGAAAGCAGAAGTAACCAGGGATATGAGAGTGATGGGTCACATCATAAGGCGAGAGAAAAGCTCCCAGGAAGGGGAGCTAACAATAAAAGGGCTCAGACAGGACCTGGAGAGACCTGGGTGCAAAGAATCTAACCTCAAGATTCATTTCTGTTTCATTGGCGCTACAGCCCCACCTGTAACCCTCTATTACCTAAAGTTTGTGATATCTTCCTGTAAACACTTAATACACAAAAATGCCCCAAAGAAAAGCAACACAAAAGGAACATCTTGGTAGCCATATATCATAACCTCTGTCGGGCAATTTACACCCGAGAGGTGGTCCTAAACCTAGTTTTCTTGTTCCTTCCAAAGGATTTCAGTCCTTGGTGAGAGGACATGAAGTGTATCCTGGAGAAGAATGTGGATGGAGAAGAAGGGCAGGAAAGGGGGAGAAGGAGGGATGATGGCATGGATAGCATAAATGAAATCAGAGTGAGATGAATTTTGACTTGCTCACACCTTTTCTCTGTCTTCATGGGGACCTGAAATCCAAGCAGTTTTCTCTGTGAACCTGTTTTTGCCACAGTTTCTTTTGGGAGGTACCAAAGACCTGGGCTGGCATCCTACCCAATGGCCCTTTCAGTTCTTTTGGGTAATACTCAGGAATGAAATTGTTGGGTCATATGATAATTCTCCATCACCCATCTGTTGGTCTGTTGTGCTGGGATTTCAACTACCAGCAGGGTCACTCAGGCTTAGTGGAGCTTTCAGATTAAGGTAAATTAGAGAGAAAAGGATGCATAATTTACTGAAAATTAGCTAATGAAAACTATGGATTATAAGAGAATAATGTTATATAATACTTGAAAATGAATCCCATAGGTTAGAAGTTAGTACACGATAGCGGAAACAATGGACTCAAATACAGTAATGATCATAGAGATGGTAGAGGATTGGGCAGTATTTATGTTGTTAGAATTGAGCCCACTAGACAAAATTAACAATCTACCACGTTTGTCATGTGGGCACCACTTTACATTCCCATCAGCAATGCAGTAATGTTCCAATATCTCCACAATGTACTTTTACGTCTTCCCAGGTGACTGTGATGTGCAGTTATGGTGGAGTGCCACTGGTGGCGCAGAGGAGCTTTTGTCGCACAGTGTTTAAAGCACTCAGTTGCAAAGCAAAAGGATGGTTGTTTGAACCCAGCAGCTACTCCAAAGGAGAAAAATGTGTCAGTCGGCTTCCGTAAATACAGCCTTGGAAATGCTACCAGGCAGTTGAACTCGATCCTATAGGCTTGCTACGAGTCTGAATTAATTCCAAATCAGTGGGCTTAAGTTTGGCTTTGTGAGTAGAATCTCTGTCAAAAAAAACACCCGACAATTATTTCCTGAATTTCATATGGCTCTAGTTTCCTTGGGACAGGAGGAATCCGCCAGACCTGGAAACTTTTAGAATTGTAAGCAGGGCACCCTACTGAGGAAGTTACTTGTGCAAAATGGAGGCCTATGCGCTGGACTGCAAAGTCAGTTTGAACTGCAAGGTCGGCGGTTCAAGCTCACCTGCCTCTCCTCAGAAACCTTATGGGTCGTAATCGACTGGATGATACTTAACAACAACTGCAATGATCCAAGATGTTGTATATAAACTTCTTGCTGCTGAAGAGCAAACCTTAATTCAGAAGGAGAGGGAGAAAGAGGAAACCCTGATGACATATATGGTAGGTAAGTGCTTAACTACCTAACAATTTGTTTACCTTGTAAAACCTCTAATAAATGATAACAGGAGTCCAGCAGTTACACGGAAGAAAGATGAGGCTTTCTGCTCCCGTAAAGATCTACAGCCTCGGAAACCCTATACAGAGTCGCTGTGAGTTGGAACCGGCTCCACGGCACACATCACCACAAATCAATTGAGACAGCCTTCCACTGAGAAATCTTCCCTGGTGCAAAGCATTCGCAACTAGCGCTCAAGGGCAAACATTTGCCGGCAGGAGACCCTGGCTAGCTCGAGCCAGAAGTAAGAGCCAGGCATAAATTCTTATCTCTACGAACGACCCTCTCGTTCTGGGCAGAATGTGGACCAGGGCAGAAAGGCTCTCTCTCTGGGCGCCTCTCGCCATGACCCGCACCCGGGCTAGAGGCTCTGCGGTGCCCAATGGCCTGTCTTGCCCACGGTGCCGCCGGCCTTCCCGCTTACCTGCAGGTCGCCCACGGAGAGCTGCAGCGGGCTCAGGTAGAAGTAGGGCACGCCGCTGCCCGTGCCTGGGGGCCCGTCGCTGAGTGAGAAGACGTTGGCGAAGGGCCAGCCGAGCACCGCAGGCACCTGGGATATGGTGGCCAAAGCGCCCCAGTCGCAGATGTGCGCCACGAAGCGGGCCAGGCGCGCAGCGTCTTCGCGGGGCGGCAGCGGCGGCAGTAGCGAGGTCGAGTCCCAGTCCCCGTGATCCCGGCCGCCCCGGCCCAGGGCTGGCGATGCCAACAGCAGCGCCAGCACCAGCAGCGGGGCCAGCAGGAGCGCAGCCCGTGGAGCTCGCTCAGCCATGACGGCGACTCCAGCAAAAGCCACTGGACTCACAGCGGCCTAGCCCTCTTCTTGGAGCGCTCGAGTTCCGCCCTCTTCTGAGAGGGGCCAACCAGAGCCGAGGAGAATGGGGGGCGGTGCCCAGCTACCGCGGAAACTTGTTGGCTATGAGACTTGTTTACCCACTTTTTTACTTCTCCACCCCGCCCCTCTGTAAGGATTGCGAATTTGTTCTAATTGGAATGTTTAGTTTACTTCCGATTCGAAGGACAGATGAAAACACTAAAGTTGACAGAACTAGTTCCAGCAGTTTTTGAAATATGCCACGTGGTTGTCTTTCACCAAACTTATTCAACCTGTATGCTGAGCCAATAATATGAGAAGCTGGGTTCTATGAAGAAAAACGTGGCATCAGGATTGGAGGAAGACTCATTAACAACCTGCAATATGCAAATGATACAACCTTGCTTGCTGAAAGTGAAGAGGACTTAAAACATTTACTGATGAAGATCAAAGAGCACAGCCTTTGGTATGGATTACATCTCAATGTCAAGAAAACAAAAATCCTCACCCCTGGACCAATAAACAGCATTCTTATCAATGGAGAAAAGATTGAAGTTGTCAAGGACTTCATTCTTCTTGGATCAACTATCAACACTCATGGAAGCAGCAGTCAAGAAATCAAACCACGTATTGCATTAGGTAAATCTGCTGCACAAAACTTTTTTAAAGTGTTGAAAAGCAAGGATGCCAGTTTGAGGACTAAGGTGCACCTGACCCAGTCCATGGTATTTTCAATAACCTCATATGCATGCGAAAGCTGGACAGTGAATAAGGAAGACTGTAGAAGAATTGATGCCTTTGAGTTATGGTGTTGGAGGACAATATTGAAAGTGCCATGGGCTGCCAAAAGAACCTCACAGCAAGAAACATTCACACACACACACACACACACACAGAGTGGACGGAGAAGGGCAGCTTGGACATTGGATACTCAAATGGGGAGGGGGGACTACAAAGGCAAGAAGTGACTGGCTTACAAGCTTTCATGGAGGGGATTGGAACCATGGCAGTGAGATGATATACGATGGAATAAATGTAAAACTGAAGTTCCCCCATGTGAACTATCATATAATTCACAATAAAACATTAAAAAAAAAAAAAAAAACCTATCAGAAAAGCCTAACTCTTCAGGAATGGAAATTAATATCCGGGCTATCCTTGTTACAATAGTCTGTTCTCTTTAGAGATACTCCAATCTGCTTTGCAGAAAGGATTTCACTTCATTCAAGGAATGTAGCCATCTTTAGGGACAAAATATTGGCGCACTCCTGATATGCTAAACGTATACTCCCAATATAACCCATACTGACATGACAGCACTTAGCAACAACAACCACACATAACTGGTGCTCCTTATTGAATCTAGTTGTTAGCGACTCAAGGTTGTGTAAAAGTATGCCTCCATGGCAAAGACTCTGGACTCAGGGAGGGAGAAGAGGCTGTGTGCTGACAGCCGGGGGCAGGCTTGTGGGGTGTATTCTTTGGTTGTTTGAATGGTTATATATTCCTGAGTACTTTGGTGTACATCCAAAAAACGGAATGGAAGCAAATGCTGTTGAATGATAATGCATGGAGGGGATTGTAATCATTGCAGTGAAATGAAATACCCTAAAATGAATGTAAAATTGATGTTCTCCCATGTAAACTATCACTCAATTCACAATAAAACTTTTTTAAAAAGTAAAAAAAAGAACCAATAGATCTGTTTTGGAAGAAGTGCAGCCAGAGTGCTCCTTAGAGGCCAAGATGGCCAAACTTCGTCTCTCATACTTCAGACATATTGT